GCTAGACGCGGTCGCTAGACGCGGTCGCTAGACGCGGTCGCTAGACGCGGTCGCTAGACGCGGCCGCTGGACGCGGTCTCTGGAAGACGCGAGACTAAGATCGCTAGACGCAGGATGCGGTCGCTGGACACGAGACGCCAGACGCAAGACGCGATTTAATTCTTTTAATGACTTAAGTCATTTTACAAAAGATTTTAATCTTTTAAAATATTTAAATCTTCATTTAAAAATAAAAATCGCTGGGGACCCGGACTGTCGCTGGACGCGGTCGCTGGACGCGGTCTCTGGACGCGGTCTCGAGACGCGGTCGCTGGACGCGGCCGATGTACGCGGTCTCTGGAAGACGCGAGACTAAGATCGCTAGACGCAGGATGCGGTCGCTGGACACGAGACGCCAGACGCAAGACGCGATTTAATTCTTTTAATGACTTAAGTCATTTTACAAAATATTTAAATCTTTTAAAATATTTAAATTTTCATTTAAAAATAAAAATATTTAAGTTTTTAGAAACTTATTTAACATTTTAGAAAAGATTTAAGATTTTTTTTATCATCTTAGTTTTATAAACAAGTAGCAACTGTGAAAGTCGTATCTTTGTATCACTGCTCATAAACTAGAAACCCTGTAAAACACACAAATGGAACAACATAATTTTATTTAGTGATGTTTTTATATAATGTGTTTTTATGCCCTTGATGCGTTTATATAGCGCGATAGTCGCTGGACGCGGTCGCTGGCCGCGGTCGCTGGACGCGGTCTCTGGTCGCGGGCGTTGGACGCGGTCGCTGGGCGCGGTCGCTGGGCGCGGTCTCTGGACGCGGTCTCTGTAGGCGGCGGCTGGACGCGGAGGCGGCTTTCGGAGATACTGGTTGTAGAAGTTTCACTTTTATTAACGTCAACATTTGGATGAAAACTGGTGTCTGGGAGTTTTTTGACATGAGAAATTTGATTTTGATGATAATATGACTCCTAATAGTAGGGGGCGCCACCTACATGTGTTTTAACTGTTTTGAAAAGTAATAATTTTTCGTCCGTACCTGTATAAAACTGCCGACTGAAAAAATATACATTTCCGTGACTTTTTACGCAAAACATATCTCTTGGTAAAAATCGTTACGAGCAACTGTTCTTAAGATATTTAGAATGGAAATAGTCAATACATGTCATTATTGATAAAACAGATGATAAAACAGTTTCTGTTAAACTTTTGACACTAGAACATTTCAAATTTATGATTTCAGTCTAATAACTATTTAGTCAACATGTTTAATTATTAATGTCAATTATCGCATTGATAATTTCGATTCCAAATATCTCGAGAACCATTACTTGTAGCGATTTTTACCAAGAGATCTTTTTTACGTATAAAACGTTATAAATGTATATTTTTGTTCTCAGTAGTTTTATACAGGTACGGACGAAAAATTATTACTCTTCAAACCAGTTAAAAAATATGCAGTTGGCGCCCTCTACAAGTAGGAATCATGTGGACATCAAAATCAAATTTATCATGCCGAAATACTCCCAGAAACCAAACCAAACCAAAAAAATAATTTCTGATTATTTGGAAAAAATCGAAATAAAAATGAAACTTCTACACCCTGTATCTCCGAAACTAAGCATTTTAGGACATACATTTATACGAACTGTTTTACTTATTTTTATCTGCAGAATATGCTGCCGGAATTTCCGGAATACAGTTCGGACCACCCTGTATATTTATATAAACAAGGATAATACTAAGACGATATAAGCTTATAATTAAACAAAATTTTGAATATTCAAGACCGAATGTATAAATAGAAAACCATCCGAATCCGCAAAAGATATTATAAGACAGAACCGCCCTCAATAACACTGAAATAAAGGGACACAGCGACACGAACTTGCATCAAAAGTTTATGGCCGTTTCTCAAAAAGATTCACTAAAAGCACGCTCTCAAGAAAACACTGCGATAAATGAAAATGCCATCTAGGCGGCTTTCAGATTTATAACGTCGTCGACAAAGTTGCTAGGAGCCTTTTCCCAGGATTTCGCGAATGAATTTGCTCGAGGCAGCGATTCCGGCCTATGCGGAGCGCTCTGGAGGAAAATCCAGAGATTATCGCTGTTTTTTTAGAGAGGGAAAACGCAAAGCTTAATTGAAACCTTGGGCTGAATAAGAAATGATTGCAGTAAAAGCTAAATTGTTTTTTTATTCGATTATTCGATTCTTGAATCGTTTATTTTTGGTTAAGTAATTTCAAATTAGATTTGATAATGCTTTTAAGACTCTCTCTACATATGCTATGAGAGGATAAAATATAATTTGCACTATTAGTGGTATACCCTTTTTTAATTAACTAGTGCTTACATTTTTCATGAATATCTTCTAAAATTATAATTGTGTATCTTCACAAAATTTCGTTATAGCCGAAATAGCCCAAGTTATGTCCCCACTAGCAAAACCGGTGCGTAAATCTATGCTTGCTACTGTAGTTGAACTCATCTAAAAGTTTTATTGGCTTCAGTAATAAATTATAATACAAGTTAGACCTTCTGAAGATATCAAAATATTTACTGTTTTATTTTTTTAGAATGTTCACATATTAGACTTCCTAGCACTTTTAGAATAAATATATAAACTTTTTTTCGTATACTCTCTATATAAACCGGTGTATTTGTATATGTCTTTGAATAAGAAGACTAAGGAAGGAGCATAATGCTATCCATGTATTCATGCATGGTGGGCGGAAAAAGCACTCTAGGGTGGGGATCCTTGATCTAAAATTGTGGTTATTCACTAATTTTCTATTTTACTATGATTATTTTAGCTACCTCAATACAATAAATAATTGTAAAATTAATTAAGATAAAGCCGTTTTCAAGCCAGACTGAATTTTTATTTCAATAGTTAAATTTACAAACGCATAATAATACAAGAAATAAAAGGCAAAGCATAAACTTATTTTCAATAAAGTAAAAGTTACTAAGGAAATATCAATTTTAATTATAGGAAGTATTTAAAGAAACATAAGTAGAAAAGAGGATGCAAGCTAGATAGAGTATTATTTTTATATGGTTTCCAAGTTATAACTGTGCATTTTGTGCGGTAGCGGTTGTATTAATTAAACCAAAATAATTCCAAAATGGTTTAGGCAAAAATAGACAAATTATATGTTTTAAATTGGAAGAAAACATTTTTAAAATATACTTAAACTCTCTTTATACAAGCTAAAAGTGAAGTTAATTATTCGTATTTTATAATTTTTTCTTAACTTTCTTATCGTTTTATGGTTATTTTATTTCACTCTCTCTCGTCACATTTGGTAAAGTTTTTTACTATCTTCAATAAGTAAGCCTGCAGATATCGCATTAAATATCTCTGAAAAGCTTGTACCTACACCAGTAAAAATATTTTTAGATTGTTCCTTACTATTACCGAAATATCTTACAATGTATATAAAATATTGAGAGTGTTAAATCTGAAATAGAACATCTGATATAGGACTTTTCGATATATTATTACTATATTTTACAGAGTTTAAATTACATATAGAAATACATATACCCATTTCGTAGTTACGTTATGGAGAGAGAAAAATATAAAGGGTTTATTACATAACCGAATTATGCACTTGGAAATAGTTGATTTCTCTCTTTGTTCAGTACATGTTATTGTCGTAAAGAACACATTGACTATACTTACTCTTCGTAAACACAAAAATCTGTATAATATTGTTCACATACTTTTAACGATGGGAACAATATTATAGAGATTTTTGCTTCTATTGTAAATTCTGCTTCCGTCCTTAAACATATTTCCAAAATGTTTTTAAACTACCCTTTATAACATATAATATTATAGTATCCTTTTAAACTCATCTTGCGCTTAAACCATACTATAATGTTTTTTTTTAGTATCTGCTAACGGTGGAATCCCTGAGAGCTTTCGAGAGGCGAAGCTTTTCGAGAGTCGTAAATTCTGTTTTACTTATCAGTGAAACGTTTCATTATTTTATATTTTTTTTGATAAAGTAAATAATATGCAACTATTTTTAAATCATCTTTCTAATGGTGCGTTTAGACCGGAGCACGCACGCACTGATCCTTCGCGAATGCTCAAGTGTAAACGGCTGTGCGCGCACGCTCACTCTGAATCTGTCTGTGCGCGAGCAGCCGCGAACGTAGGGCCTCTCTGGTGTCGGTTTTTTGGCCCGTGCTCAAAGGGGATTTTATGTGTGCGCGAACGCTCAGTTTGCACCGGCAATTTGTTTTGTCTGCGTGCGTCCATTCAATTAACACAACTCTGCTGTTCGCGCATAAATGAGAGCGCGAACGAATGCCATGCGCGTACGCTCAGCCTGCGTGCTCAAGTCTAAACGCACCATTAGATTCACAATAATCTCATTTTAATTGAAATCCAATCTATTACAATGTCTTTCCTGATTTCTTCTTCTTCTTCTCGTCCGTTAATTCTCGAAAGAGTATGGTGACATCATGTCTCAATTGCTAGGATCGTTGTTCTCCATCCCTCTCTATCTTAAGCGTCTATAGAAGCCTCTTGCAGGCCGTGACCAGTAATTTCTTTGGTTTGGTCCACCCAGCGCGTTGGAGATCTTCTTGGTCATTTGATGATTATCTTCTCTTCGATTATGATTTTTTCCAGTCCATCTGTTCTTCTCGAAATGGGCCCGAAATATCTAAGGTAATGACTGGTTTACTTTGGTTGACAGTCTTGTCTTAACTTTCAACTGCCTTAGAATAGATACGTTAGTCTGATGTCTAGTAGTGTCTAGACCAAGGAACTCTTGGTCTTGCATTTGCTAATCACATTATATAAAAATAGACCCTTATATCGTCCGTAGTTTACTAATTTCATGTTTTAGTAATTCCAACTTTTTCTGCAAATATACCTTATTAAATACTTTACTTTATATTTTTAGTACCTGGTAACGGCGGAACCTTGAGAGCCTTCGAGGAGAGGCGAAGCGTTCCAAGCTGCCGCAAATAATTCAGAGCGGCGAAACGGACGAGACGATCAAAAAGGGCCATCGAGAGGAACACGCTTCGCCGATCTCTTATCCGCTACGAGCCCAGGAGCAAGAAGCAACCGTACAAGACTGACAATTCTTTGGTGGAGAGGATCAAGCAGTTGACTTGTAATGTGGACGACAATACGCCAAAAGGTAAGATACACGAATAATTCTTGCCTTAGAAGGTTTGTTTCCAAATCAAAAACATTTCTCTGTTTACATTTGGATTGTATATGTTATTTACCTTTCTTTTATACACTAAAAGTTTGTTCATTAATATGGTTTGTCTGAGCACTTCCCAGCATCCTTCAGGTAGAAATATACGCTATACAGGGTGGCGCACCCCATCCGCATCGGTTGATTATACGGAAAAAAAAGAAAGATGTAGAAACAAATTATTTTATGGGTATATATAGAGAGGCAATGTGCATAATTCAAAATTATTTTCAAATATACAGGGTGTGTCAGAACTAAGATTCGATGGCTTCACGGTCAACGGAACTGAATCTTTATCGTAAGTACTAGGATTAGGTTATTAGGAGCAGATATTTGGTTTCTTAAATCATGCAAAGCCAATTCAGTTTATCCTAGTTTTATTAAAGTTGATATTCCGAAAAGTAACGTTAGTGATAAGGTAGAGAAAATTGCAAAACAAAAATGGCTTGATTTAGAAATCAAATTTCTGTATAGTAAACGAAGTAGGCTTGAAATTGAAGCCTATGGACTTTACAAAAAACTTACTTATAAGCTAACTAATGTAGAGTATGAATGTTGGTGTCTCTTTCAGAGAAATATGTTTGTGGTTATCAATTCAAAATTTGTTAAAAAAATGTCCATTTTGAATAGTAAGTTTAAAAAATTAAAAAGCTCTAAAAACAAACATGTTTTCCAAAGAGACATAAACATAGTAGAGAATCTTTCTTCGCAGACTTTTGATAAACAAGAGCTCAGTTTATTAAACAAAGGTTTAAAGTTTGCATTGCCCAACTCTGGTAGCGCTTTGGAGGAAATCGTCGTTGGTGTTGAAACTGCTATTCAGCACTTGCCCGAGGCTTCTAAAGTATTTGCAAGAGAGGCTTGTAGAAATCAGTTATCAAAAAATATCGTTTCAAGTAAATCATTAAAATCTAACAAGGAGCACAATATTGTCAAAAGTTTGCGTAACAAAGATTGTTTCTACCTAAAAGCTGATAAGGGAAATAAGGTTGTTATATTAGTTTATAATCATCTGCTGATGATGCTAACATGGTTAGCGAAACGCGCGTCCAGTTTAAAAGTAAAAGTGTTTTGGTGTATTGTGGTGATTTAGTGTTTTAATTTTACCTTATTTTATGTCCAAGAATCCAAGAATTAAATAAAATACCGTGTGTTCCATAAGAAAAAATATAACATTGGTATTGATCTTAGCTCGGACACACCCTGTAGATTTGAAAATAATTTGAAATTATACACATGCCTTCCCACATATATCCATAAACTATTTTGTTTCTACATCTTTCCGTTTTCGTATAATCAACCGAGGCGAATGAGGTGCGCCACCCTGTATATAGGAACTATCGGAACCAAGAAATACCCATCTTATCCGATAGTCAAGCTGCCTTAGGAGCGATTAACTCTCTTTATCTATTATTTAAACTAAAGCTTTATAAAATATAATTTTCTGAAATTATTAATGTAACAAACTAATTTTAATATTAAATATAATTGAATGGGTTGATATAAATATGTTTTAACAATCAAATTATGTATTTCTTTATATGAAAACGTCAAATACCATCCTTAAAATAAATAAAGGAAAATCGTTTCTAATTTTGTAAAGAGTAGGGTTAAATTTGTCAAGCCCAGAATTATTCATTACTGAAATACTGACGTTTCTAAACTAAGCAGATAATTTTCTGTGGAAAATTTGGGCTTTTATCTGGATGCTTAATCTAGATAAAACTACTGCTGGAAGGACAAAGACCTTAATGCCTTTTAAAGGTAAAAGATGGGTTACTCCATTTTGTTATCTATTCATCTTTCTTAATACAGCAGAGTATTTATCAAATTTATGATAAAGGCTGATAGAACTATTTGTCGGAGAAAATATATTCAAATATATAAGCCGAAGTTTTTGACTAATGAAGTATGCTTAGTACTTGATATTCAAAAAGCTCCAAAAATCAATTTCAATTTAATCTGGTGAATATTAAAAAACCTTTTTGATAAAACAGGTTCGTTGCCATCAATTTTTGTAATCTAAAACGTTATTTGACAGGAAAGAAAAACTGCCTTTACAGCTTACTTTTTTTTAATAATATCCTTTATGACTGTAAAATGTTTTTATTAATGTTTTATTATTATTGAGATTACCTATTTATTTTTGTGTATTATTTTCTTTCTGTTTTCTCAATTTAAATGTAAATGAAGACGTGATAATTTCGATAAACAACTGGATCAGAATTGTAATTAAAATAATTCTATTCCGAGTTAAAAAACAAATCTTTACCCAGGAATGTAAATTCCTTGAATTTTCTTAAGAATATTAATATTCAATTTTGTTAAAACGAGTTTTCTTTAGCTAAACACTTATTTCTAAATAGATTTTAATTTCTTTAAAAGGTTCTCTCATTTTCATATTAATGAGCTTTACATGTGGGCATGATGGCATGCCAATCATTGTACAATACTTACTCCTTCGCATTTTTGAATATTAAACATTCAGTCTTAGGTGTGCGTCAGTACGACGCTGTGTGTTTTATTGTAGGTTATTTAATTGATTCATTTATAAAATATTTAATTTATTATAAAACCCAAGGTACATTTTTATTTTTTAAAGTATTTTAGAGGTTTAAAGTATTTTGATGTTTAATTATTTCGATTTTCAGATGATTCTAACCAAGAGCAACCTTCAGATGTATCCTATGAACCTTCACAAGATGTTTTAGACAGTAGATCAAGTCCACCAGGAGAAGAATCAAGAAATTCACCGGATGTCAATACGTTATCAGCAAACAAAACCCATGACAAGAGTTTTTCTCCATCATCATCATCAACAGCATCTTCTAATTCCAGTTCTATGTCGATGAATTCAAATTACCATCAGGTATACAAATATAATTTATACTCATATTAATCTAGTTTAATATTGTTAGCAAAATACAGAACACCCATATAAATAAATTTATAATTTCCTTTAAATGTTCAATAATGTATTTGAAAGTCAGTTTCATATTCAGTTTATTATTTACAGACACAAAAAAATTAGTAAAATTGAAATTGCATTCTAAGTAATACAATAATTAATGTCTATTCTAGATGAGAAAGACAAATACAGGAGAACCAACTCTAATTATTAATCTAAACCGTGTTGATAATGTGCCTGATATACAGAATAATTTTAGAAGAGATGCAAAACCCCTGCCTGATATTGGTATGTATACTTTGACTAATTTTCTATGTCTAACTTAAAAAGTAATTAGAAAGCGTCATAACAGTATAAATAATAAGTAGGGATACTTTCGTATTACCAAAGTTTAATTGATATAAGCAATAGCATAACTGCATTAGCAGTAAAGAAAATAGTAGCTGTATATCATCAAATAAAGGTGCGTTTAAACGAGCCAAGTGAATAATAATTGATGAAGTCACTTGAATTAAATTAGCATGAATGTTGTCGAGAAGTGGGTTCTCGAGATATTTGGAATCGAAGTAATCAAATCATGCCATCATTGGCAAAAATTGACTAGATAGTTATACCGGGTGCGTCCCAAAAGTGGCTCACCTCTATAATTTTATTTATTTTTTTAGATAAAAAACGAAATTTGGTATGTTAGTTATGTCATATACTAACATACCAAATCTAATTTTTTTTATCTAAAAAAATAAAAAGATTATAGAGGTGATCCACTTTTGAGACGCACCCGGTATACAATATGAACGGCTCAATAGAAACTATTTTATCATATAAAAATGTATCATAGAAAAAAAAATATGATTGATTAAAGAAAAATAAAAAGTTTACATATTTATTATTTCAGTCAAATATCAAATAACTATTTAGTCACAGACATGTATTGGTCATTTAGATTTTAAATATCTTGAGAATGGTTAGTCGTAGCGATTTTTCCAAAGAGACCTTTTTTACGTAGAAAACGATGAAAATGTATATTTTTTTATTTAGTAGTTTTATACAGGTACGGACAAAAAGTTATTACTCTTCAAACCAGTTAAAAAACTTATAAGTGGCGCCCCCTACAAGTAGGGGGCGCCCTTTGAAATCAAATTTCTCATGTAAAAAAATACCCGGACACCAATTTTCATTCAAATATTTATATTAGTTCAAACTTATTTAGAAAAAGTCGAAATAAAAATGAAATTTCTACACCCCTGTTTTTCCGAAACGAAGTATTTTAAGACATAAATTTATACGAACTATTATTATACTTATTCTTAACAGAAGAAGAATATGCTGCCGAAGTTTCCCGAATACAATTTGGACCACCCTGTATGTTCGCAAAAGCGAATATTCGTTACACCACTAGTATCACCATGTATATAAAATATTATAGAATATTTTTATTAAAGAATCTTCCCCCATCAGATTAAACATTGATGACGCCTATTTCGACCAATTTATATAGACAATAAAGAGACGAAGGGAGACATAAGACCCAACGAATGTTATTTTTTACGCCGGTATTTTTTCTCGAATGCGAATAAGAACCTAATATCCCAAATTCTCGGCGTTCTGTTTTTCTTCCATTTTCTCCAATAACCCCCCTCGTTTGAACAATAAAGGCCTGGGTGTACGT